TCTTTACATTTGTAGGGTTTCTCTCCAGTATGAATTCTTTGGTGTTGATTAAGGGCTGAATTTTGATAAAAGACTCTGCCACAATCTTTACATTTGTAGGGTTTCTCTCCAGTATGAATTTTCTGGTGTTGATTAAGGGCTGAGTTTTGATAAAAGACTTTGCCACAATCTTTACATTGGAAGGGTTTCTCTCCAGTATGAATTTTCTGGTGCTTGGTAAGATTTGACCGCTGATTAAAAGCTTTGCCACATTCTTTACACTGGAATGGTTTCTCTCCAGTATGAATTCTCTGATGTTGATTAATAGTTGAGGAATATGTAAAGGCTTTGCCACACTGTTCACATTTGTAAGGCTTCTCTCCAGTATGAATTCTCTGGTGTCGAGTCAGTGTTGAGCAATATTTAAAGACTCTGTCACAATCTTTACATTTGTAAAGTTTCTTAAGGGTTGAGCTCTGATGAAAGGTTTTGTCACATTCTTTACATTTCCTGTGTTTCTCTCCAGTATGAATTCTCTGGTGTTTATGAAGGGCAGAATCATTAGCAAATGCTAAGTCTATAGACTTAGAAAGGTTGTGTTGAATATGGATACTTTGATGAATAGTAAGTTCTGAGCACTGGTCAAAGACTTTGCAACATTTATCACACTTGTAAATGTTTTTTTGAAAATGTGTACACTGATTCTTACTAGGGTTTGAGTCATGGTTTACGATTTTATAAATTTCTTTACATTGGCAAAGTTTCTGTCCAGTATAAATATCCTGGTAATTATTTAGAGTAGACCCCTCACAAGAGGCCTTCCCATGTTCATTATAGTTGTCATGAGTTTCCAAAAGATCTATATATGGGTTTTGCTTGAACACTAATGGGTGTGTAAACACCTTCTTGTATTTATTCAAACTGTACATTTTTGCACACAGTAGACATATTTGTTGATTATAGAATAATGAACTTCTCTTAAAGGATTTGTCAAATTGACAATATTTAGAACTTTGTTCATCCATTTTCAATCTCTTGTCTATAGAAATGCCTGAATGAAAATTTAATCCAACACTACCTTTGAAATTGTTCAAAAAGGTAATTGAACCACTGACTAGATCCAATTTTGGCTTTTCCAAATTTTCTTTGAGAGAAAGTTTATGTTTTATAATTGGATGTGAATTATTAGTTATAGAAACACGTTGGTCATTCAAAGTAAGCGGTAAAAATTCAAATATTTTCTGAGATGTTATGTGTTCTTTATCACTTTTGGCAGTAATATTTCTATTGTCTTTAGTTGTCACATATTGGTTACGTCCATTAAAACATGGATTCTCCCCTTCATACTCACCAACAATTTCCCAGTCTTTTCTTAAGTATAAATTGGTAATGCCACAATTTCCGTGTCTTTGATGCATCACTTTTTGGAATGAATGTTTTATGCCTTGCTGTGATGAAAATCCTTGGGTATAAGACATAACTGAAAAAAACCCAACAAATTATCTCATTTATTAGACTCAGGTCAATGTATCTTGCAGATATAATAAAATTACACCAAGGTGAATACTTCAGTAGGATAATATAATAGTACATGATAGGTCTCCCACTACCTCAGCAGGTATTATGTATAGTAGCTGCCCTCTTCCTATTGTGCCTTGCCCCCTCCCCTGTGTGACATCATGCCAAGATGGTTGCTCCCACCAAAGAATAAACCCTTCTTCCCAGTATGCCCCTGTTCCCGCCTAGAAAGTAACCTAATACTCACCTCCTACCACCTAGTGACGTCACGGGCTCCTCCATTCCCTAGTCACTACCTCACTCAACCCCACCTCAGCCCCTACAAACCCCACCCCAGTCTCTATAAAAGACTCTAATAAAGGTTTGTTGTGGCCTGGTCTGGTCTTGGTCTTCGGCCCTTTTACCTGACACTATACACAAGGTCCTCACTTCCCCACAGATATATAAACTGAACAACAAAATGTTGACCAGATTACCCTTGTGAGAATTCTGAAAACCAGTTAAAAGTTCACAGTATTCCAGTTTAGCACAACTTTAAGGAGAGTCACATACTTGTAGAAATGAAATTTACTAATAAAAGTTAACCTTGTCAACCAAAAATCTTCCTTCTCCCTATATAGCATTGGATAATTATGAAAAAACTCTCAACACTTTAATTCTCCCTTAGGGAACACAGAGAAGAATGTAACATATGGACACATTTCTGGCTTTCATGGGAGTTGCAGTAAAACTGATGTCTATCTACGTTTAACTGCAGGGTAGGTGATAACAGGTATATAGTGTATGACAATTCAGGTCATTTAAGACTAAATCTAATTTTAAGAGTAGGAAAATGAGGACAGTAACAAAAATTATCAACAGGTATAGAAAAGAACATAGCATCTCAACAAATATGCAGAAAAAGAAATATGCATTCCTCATAAATACCTTAATTATACTCACCATATTAGACTATATCTACTGCATTTTTAAAGTTTTGTTATCTAAAATTTTGTAACTGTTGACCAATATCATCCCAACCCCTCCAGCAAAAATTATAAGCCCTGAAAACCTTTTTTCATTCTATAAGAAAAAAACTATCTTAGATAGATATCTTTACATATAATTGAGATTTACAATAACTGACTGCACTGGGCATAGTTCAATCATTATAAATTATAAAGGCATGCTTTACTACATCAAATGGCAAAATTGTCTCTTTTTATGGCTGCATGGTAATTCGTAGTATGTGTGTATATATGTTCTTATTCATTCATTCATTGAAAAGAACTTTGATTCCATTTCATGCTCATTATGAATAATGGTGCACTGAACTTTGCATGATAGATATATTTTCAACAAAGTGACTTGCTTTCTTTTAGCTGCAGATTTTGTATTGTTGAATCATATGATTGTTTTCCTTTTTGTTGTTGTTCCTGAGGATCAGACCCAGGGACTTTTTTTGCATGTTAAGCAAATGTTCCACAACTGAACTATATCCCCAGCCATACTTAGAATCTTTTGAGCAACTTTCATATTGTTTTCCATAATGATTGTATTAATATACAATAGGCTGGTTAAGTACACAATTCTTAACAAAAGTTAACCCAGCATAACAAAGAGTGGGAAAAAACATTGGCCACTCAATGGAACAAAATAAGACAGTAGAAATTGGTGCTGAGGAAAAAGATATTTATGACTTGTCTAAAAATTTCAAAACAATCATTTGAAGGATAATTAGCTAAACAAGAACAGAAGACTAAAGGAAATCAAGAAAATGATAACATCAACAGATAAAAATTTCAAATAAAAAAAGGAGAAATGGTGTAGTTGAGAATTCATTATGTAACAATGCCTCAGACATTCTTAAATATGAGGAAGAAAAAAGACATTTAAATTCAAGTAGCTCAATCCAGCACTTGGGAGACTGGGGCAGAAGGACTGGCATGAGTTCAAGGCCACCCTGAATGGCATAATGAGACCCTGTCTGAAAACAACAGCAACAAAAGATGAAATTGTCAATACTCATGGTATACAGGGTAAAACTGGGGGAAAAAAAACTGATGTGAGGGAACCTACTCTAAAAATTGAAACACAGAAAATAAAATCACAAAAAAGAAAAAGAAAATTTATCCTTTTTTAATTCTCAAAAAACACTTTAAAAATTATTCTAGACAATGGAAATTTTTAGATGTGACTACATACCATAGTAAACAGCCATTTTGTTACAGTGGCATTCAGTATATGGCATAAAAATTTCACATTGTATCCATTCTAATCATGAAGTACTCTTTTTGCACAATTTAATAAATAATAAGGCAACTATTTTAAAGAATCATCTTTATGATGTCATTAATAAACTGCATTTGATTAACATAGAGGCCTTAAGATATGGGCACAGTTTTTCTGAGGGACCCACAACCAGTGAGAAGCCAGACCCTCACAAATGAAAGGACCTCGGCTGTCACTTCAATGTCCTAGGAAGTCACTGGAGGGAAAGGAGAAGCATTAGAGGCTTTAAGAGCATGATGAACAAAAGGCAGGAAATGTCCTTTTATAGTACAAGAGATAAACTTCAGCTTCTGAAATATCATTTCCACTAAAACTGAGCTTCTCAACCTACAGTTTAAAGCCTGAATTTCTCCCTGACCTTTGAAATGCTCATCTATGTTCTTTGCTTAATTCTTACGAACCTGAATGCATGGCTGCTGTATCTTGACTCTTCACAATCCAGGGTTCTTTGCTTTGCTCCAGAAGGGTTATCAGGTGTGGCTTAGAGACAGCTAGACCTGTTGATTGGAAGATGGAATATGACACTCGTCTTACATTCTCCCAATAACTGACATTTCTTTCCAATACTATAGTCAAAAGAGAAGAAATCATGTAAGATCCTCAAAAATGATTTCTCCAAATGTCTCCAAGCAGCCACTAAGACTATATAGAAAGCATTTCTAACATATTGCACTTCACTTTCAACTAATAAACAACACTATAAGGGAGAACTGAGCTTTAAATTAGAGGCAACAATATTTTCTGCCACAGGATTTCTACAATTATCACAATGTACATTAAAGATGGATAACACTTTAAGACAGGGGGACACAGAAGAATAAATGGCATGAAAAATTTTGTTTCTATACTGAGAGATCTCCATTGTTTTTCCTTTGAAAGTAGGAACTTGAAATTCATTCATAAAAGTCAGAAGCCCCCAGGAAGTATTCTTTAAAAAGGATGAGAATTAAACATTGATAGTTTATCAGGGTTCTGCAGGAAGTCAGACTCACCCAGGAAGATCAAGGTTCTGTAGTTCTCTAACATCACATCCCTGTACAGATTCTGCTGAGCAGGGTCCAGGCACTCCCACTCCTCTAAAGAGAGATCAATGACCACATCCTTGAATGTCAACAGTTCCTGAAATATTTCAAAAAATCACATTTATTCTGTGTTCATCAGCAAAGCTCTTGATTTGATCTACTATGAAACAAGAGTAAGGACTGCTGCAGACATAGGTGGAAAACCTAATTATTTGAATAGACAATGTATGATCTAATTTGGAGCTAAGAATATGCCATAAGATTTACAAAACCAGTGTAGGGACTACACTTTGATTAAATTTAAAACATAGGAAAGTACATTTTTGAGTGCTATTGTTTATATTTTATACAAGTTCTAAATTTTTCTCAGGTGAGAAAGTCATCATGCTAAGAAAGTACTTTTCAAATTTTAATGTTAAAACCATACATTTGAGATTTCATTTAAATGTATATTTTGATTCGGTCATTTAGAGAATGCTTTGGATGTCAGAATGTGTAGGAAGCTCACTTGTGATGCTAAGGTTGGTAGTTCAAAGAGATCACATTTTAGACAACAGAAAGGTAGAGCACCATAGAAGAATTGAGACATTAATTTGACAATGATTTTTACCATATTTTAACATTTTAATATATTAGCAAAAACATTAAGAAAATCTTTTTTAGGTGCAAGCTATTTAGATTTATCAAGTAAATCTAGTTAAATATGTTGTAAAGGGACAAAGTTGTATCAGATCTGAATACACAGAGATGGAACATCAGCAATGTCGTATCAGTGGCCACAAAGAAAACAAACACAAAAGATAAAATGAGGCAGAATCTTAACCTACTCCTGACAGGAGCATCAATTTTGTGTTAATTCCAACGTATGAATGTCTCCTGTGGTCTACAGCCTCATACAGTGTACAGTCTTTGCACAGCATGGTATTCACTTTCTTTTCATTGTTCTCCCTTTTTCAAAACTTTTCACCACTTTTTTTTCAAATGCAAGAAAATTTGAGAACCACGATTATTTGGGAAAAAAATAAAATTAACATTTTCAACAAATTAAAAGTATGTTAACTCAGACCACCCACACAGTGGTGGTTGGTAGGAAATACACTTGCCAGGTAGATGTCAGCTGGTGAGAAGTGGGAAGTGCAGTCTGCTGAGCAGAGATCAGCTGCTGGGCAGCAGACGAAACTGAAGCTGAGGCACACTGTACTTTTTAAAAACTGCTGTTTGACATTCTATCAAGGGAAGACACCAGTTGATTATAGATGCATGGTATTCTGGGCCCAGGATGCTTACACTGGAATTGGTGGTGGTACTCACCACTTCTCACCCAAATGTAGACCCATGGGCACAGCAAACTCTGCCCCATTCAGGCATTCAGAGTACATGCCACAAGCTGGATACTGGTCATCTATGCCTCTGAGTGTCCTAGCTAGAGAACTGTGGTACCCAAGACCCAAAACCTGGATCAACCCCAGGATAGGCAAGTGAGAGTCATCAAATGGCTCAAATTTTACCTGTAGCCCCTATTCCTGTATGCCTAAAACATCCTGAGATATTGGGTGTAAATCGAGCCCCACCACTGACACTTTCATCTTAGCCCTCTAAGTGATTCTGCCCATTTGAACATAGGCTAAGAAGGAATATTCTGGATGAAAAAGTATTCCACATTCTGCCTAATATTTGGCAGATGTCAACAGCAGAAATAATTTACATTTTCAATACCTCTTCAAGGGAAAAATCTTAGTCTTGTTTTTATTAGTTTTTTTCCTTCATTTCAATTGTGTTCTTTTGCTGTGTTTTCCCCAACTAATGTTTTTCCCCCACTGGTTAACATTTTATACATTTTAATATATTAAGTTTTGCTCCCTATTTCCTCTGTCCTTTTTCATGTTATCTGCTACCCTCCTCTTTTGCCTCTTATCTTATTGTCTCTTTTCCCTCTCTCTTTTAAAATATATTTTAGAAATAATTTTAATAGAATTACCGCATAACTTTTTAGTCTATTGTAATATTTCTCTTTCTTTCCTTAGCTTTCTGGAATTGTAGAAATCAATTTTATCAAGTTTTTAAACAAACTTATAGATTATTTTTAGTTGTTAATACTAATTATTAAATTCTCCTCTCAAAGCAGATCTGGGATTTGAACCTAACACCTTGAACATGTTGAGTGGGCTCTTTGACACAGATATATCGAGCATATCATAGGGAAAGATGCTTACTACAGGATTCTCACATAATAGTGGAAATGATACCCTTTCTCAACAGATGTGCAAATCTGAACTTAAAAATCTAAGAAAACAAGACAGTAACATATCACCAAAGAACTACACACCCAGAATACACACAACTGAATCCACAGATACATAAGCGTAGGAAAAGTCAAAGAGTTAAAGCTTGATTGTTAAAATGACTAATGAATTCAAAGATAAAAATAAACAGCTACACGAATTAAGGCAGGCAGTGCAAAGTGACAGAGTTGAAAATCAACATAAAAGGATCATTACCTTTTCTATATAACCGTAATGAACTCACTGAGAAAAGCAAACAATTCCAGTCTCAATCACTTTAAATAAAAACTAAACTACCAATGAATCAACCTAAAGAAAAAGGGAATCAACCTCTACAAAAAATTACAGAATGTTGAAGAAAGAAATTGAAGATGACAAACATAGATGGAAAGATCTCCCACATTCATGGATTAGCAAAATTAGTATTTTTACATGGCATATTAACAAAAATGATCTAAAGATTTAATATATCCCCTTTCTACAAAGCAATAATGTTCTTCAAAGCACTAAAAAAATCATAAAATTCACATACACAAAACAGCCACAATAGTCAAAATAATGCTGAAGAAAAAAGCACTGCTAAAAAACAGTTCAATATTTGATATAAATGTGTACTCTACACATTAGTATATAAAATCATAGTAATAAAATCAGCATTTTACTGGCATAAAAACAGACATGTAGACCAACAGAGTAGAAAGATGACAGAGAAAAAAAACACAGCTACAGCCATTTGAATTTTGACAAAGTATTCAACAATGTGGATTGGAGAAAAGACAGTTTAATAAATGCCACTCAGAAAAAGATAACCTATGTAGAATACTGAAACTGGATCTCAATCTCTCCCCCTCATAAAAATCAAATCAAAATAGATCAAAGACCTGAAAGTTTGAGACTGCTAGAAGAAAACATAAGGCAATGACTTTGTGAATGGGACTCCAACAGCACAGGAAATAATAGGAAGAATTTAAAAAAGAACTACACCAAAAGCTTTAAAAAGCTTCTAAAAAGCAAAAGAAATAATAGAGTGAAGAAATGGAAGAAAATATTTGCTAGCTACTCTTCTGACAGATGAATACACCACATGAATAAAGAATGTAAAAAAGAAAAAAAAATTCCAAATCAATAAATGGGCAAATAAACTGAACAGACACTTCTCAAAGTACAAATGGCCAATAAGTACTTTAAAAAGTTCAATGTCTTTACTTATCAGGGAAATGCAAATCCAGACTACACTAAAATTTCATCTCATTCCATTTAGAATGGCTATCAAGATATAATAAATGTGGGGAGGCTTTGAGGGAAAAGAAACTTTGATATACTGCTGATGGGAATGCAAATTATTACAACCACTATTCAAAACACTATGGATGTTCCTCAAAAAAGTAAAAGTAGAGCAACAATTTGATGCACTCATATAACACCTCAGTATTCTTTTTCCTTTCTTTTTTTTTTTGGTACCGGGGATCAAACTCGGGACCTTTCACTTGTGAAGTAGGCACCAGAACTACTGAGCTAAATCCCCAACCCCAATGAGCTAAATTCCCGGCCCAACACCTCAGTATTCTGCTGAAGAATTCAAATCAGCTTATTGTAGACATACCTGCATACCTATGTTTAAAATGGCCCAATTCATAGCAGCTAAATCATGAAAACAGTTGCTTATCAATTGATGACTACACAAAGAAAATGAGGCATATATACATAGGAAAGAATTGTTCAGTTATAAAGAAGAATGAAATCATGACATATGCAGGAAAACTGATGGAACTGAAGATTATGTTACATGAAAAACCAGACTCAAAGAAAAAAATCTTGACATTTTCTCTCATATGTGGAATCTTAAAAAAAAGACAACATGAAAGTAGATGGGAGACTATACAGTATGGGGAAGAAGACCATAGACAAGCTAGGTAAAAGGCAAAATTATAAAAATGTTATATGCATATATGAATATGCCAAATAAAATCTACTATTTTGTATAAACATCCACAAATAATAAAAAGAATTAACACTAACTTAAAATAAAGACCTGAAATGGGTGAGCAAACCACATGGCCTAGAGCAGCACATGTACAAAAGATTGAGAGAGAAACAATAACTATAAATTCTGTCATAATACCAATGGAATAATAATAGGAATAAGTTACTAAAAACTCAAAAGAAGCACAATAGTGATTCTTATGAAATACATTTTGAATCTATAACCTGCACAAAAAAATACGTCTATTGTCACATCTGGGTGAGGTGGCAGATGACACAGGCAGGCACACTAGCACTGCACAGAGCTCATTATTTTCCTGGACGGGCATGCTACACTTATTTAGACTCACAATTTAAATAGCATAAGACAGATAACTTATTAAAAGGCTACTTCTGCTTATTCAGATCATCACTTAATCCACGTACATATTCAACAAGGAAAATAGTATCTTACACTTAAATTATGGAATAAAATTTGTAAAAACATGGCCAAATTGAAATTTTGAGGTACCAATATGCTATAAAGCAAATGAGATGGAAGCCACTCAGGTAAGTGCCTTTCCCACCCACAGTTCACAAGGAAACCTGCATTTAGAAATTACATACGTTCTCAAGGTTGTGCACCACTATCAGTGGGGAGATGTTCACAAACGAAACTCACACCTCTGAACAAAATGAAGGAAACCTGAGTAGCTGGAAATTTAATTCTTTGAGCTCCATATACCGTACACCATCACTCCACAATGTGTAATTCTCTTCCAGGGCCTCAGTTCTTCCCACTGATCAAACAAACACTTAAAGTCAGTTGAAGATTCTTACCTCTGGCAACATT